GTATATGAATTCTAGAACCATGAATCGGGTCACGACGATGTAAGAAAACGATGTCAAGTATCACTCTGGGTGTACGTTGACTTGGTAGAGCTGGTATTATCGATGCAATTACCAGAAACCCGGCTGGTAAAGTGTCACGCACACACACACACACACACACACACACACATGCATGGGACATTGTTGTCGCCCACATATCTTTTTCTCCCTGCATTATTTCCTCTTCTCTCATCGTTGATTCCCAGTGGCTGGTTCTAGACTTTTGGAAATTGCTTCTTGAATGCCACATTCAGCTCTTGATATGCCACACCGTAGCAACTGATCCATTGACTTGACCATCGACTGTCATTTCCGTTCAGCCGGGCTGACTGTAGCCAGTGAGACTCGCGATAATGGCCTGATGCTCTCAAAGTTTGCCCTGGAATATGCAGAACCACAACTGCATGCACCAGCTTATTATTGCCCTTGTCTTGTCTGACATGCGACGCGCGAAATAGTGGCGCTTGCTTCCAGGTTGCTGCATCAGGACCGATTTCGATACCGAGCACAGAGTCAAAAGGACTAAGGCACGCGATCATTTGCTGTCCATCATATCCATGAGTTGTTGCTCTTCATCAACCTCGGCAGTATCATTCCCGCCTCCCACGCCCCTCCTTTGCAGCTCGATGTCTATCAACTTTCGCGTAGGCATGCCCACGCTTAGATCCGGCACATCTTCTTTGATCTTGCGAAGGTAGTTTTCCACGCTTCGCATTCCGACAACAAGGAACCCGAGCTCTTCTCGGTCGACATCGAAGACCTCCCACCATTCACACTCCGGCATCTTCGCACCAACATCACGAGCCGCGTTGTATATAGCAGCTGTAGCTAGCGCATGGGGCTGGTGAGTAAGATACAACATCTGAGGGGAGAGAAGAGCTGCATTCAGGTATTGAATGGTGCGTAGAGAGATGATAGATTTAGGCTGAGCAAGAAAATCGAGGGTCTGAAGGTAAGTAACTGCAAGTGGATGAGGTAGCGAGACGTGTGTATCGAAAGAGAGGGTGTAAAGAATACGAGCTTCAATGGCAAGGATGCGAGTCTGAAAGGCATGGTAGTCCGCTTCAGGTACATAGTACGACCTGGGGTCATTCTTTGGGATTTCCGGAGTCCTTAAGAATAATGAACTCTCTGATAAGAGGTAGGCATAAACATTTGAGATGTCGCGCGCTGACCGGGGTTGAGGTCCCATCTTTGCGACTAGATAGAGAGCAGCAGCAGATGTGTCCTATGAGCACGGGTCAGTATGGTCAGATGAAGTTGAGAGAGATACTGCGTGTGGGTTTGGTCTTACACTGAATTCATTGGCCATTGGGGGGTCGACAAGCCAATATCGCGCCAGGATGACGTTTGCTTGTGCAGTGACAGACTGAGGAAGCTCTAGCAGCTGGCCAGCAGCTTGTGTGAGGCATTGCGAAGTGATGAATATTGTATCTTGGAGATCCTTGGGCAGAGATGAGAACGATGATTTGTGATAGATCTGAGATGTTGTCGCAAGGGGATTCAAAAGATGCGCCATGTTGGGGTATATGAGATATCACGAAGCAAAGGTGATGTTGTTGTTGATGATGGAAGGGTTGAAGTTTAGCAAGACTGAGGAGCTCTAACTTGCATGTGGAGAACTCGCCTGGACAGGACAAATCAGCGGGCCTCGTACGCTGTGGAACAGCCAAAGATCCCTGCATTTACAGTGCATCACTCATGATAACCTCCATAATTTATCTTTTTGAGTTTATGTAAAGGGAGCCTGCTAACAATCAAGATTGAGTCTCAACGGTTGCATCCACGACGGTTGCTCCCTCATAAATAGATCAGTCAGCCTGTTGTGTATAGAAGAGCCGAACATGAGTGACCTCAAGCCATCATGACTACTATTCTGAGTCTCATGAGAAGGCTTGGGAATAGAGAACAAGGAGACATCCATGTGTCATATGAAGAGTTCTACTAATTCACTATAAGGATATATCTAAGTACCACTTAAAATTTGTCTTTATGTGTGGTATAAGCTATACCGTTATGTCGCGTGCAGCTCATCTTAGGAGAAGGATAACATCAACCAGTAAAGCATAGAATAGTCTGCTATATAGGTAATATCAGTCGTTATATCATAGCACTGTACACAAATACCTAGGAAGATCTACCAATTATTTAATTAGAAGATTCCATCATATAAAGTAATCTTGATCATATCATGATACCTCATATTGATTGGGTGACTTGCTCAAGCCCAGGCACAGGCACAGGTACAGGCACCTCGCGCGGGGAACTTGCATTTTGACAGGCTGCGGTACGTACCGATCTGAGCTGAGCTGAGGTACCTTACCTTAGATTGAGCCGCTGTGGAGCTTCAGCATGTCCCAAGTCAACAACACATCACCACCACCTCAAGACATCAGACGACGATATCGGAGCTCACTTATAGGACAAGACACAATAAACTCGACGATTTCTCTCACTGTACACTGCTTCAATAGTCTAGGCGATTGATTCCATAATGACCGCCTCAATCCCTCCATCACCCGGCGAAGAAACACCAGCCTTCGACCTCAACCTCCAACACGGCCATAAAGATCTCGTTCAAGCCGTCGCGTTCAACACCTACGGCGATCGCTGCGCAACTGGTTCAGTAGATGGCAAGATCCGCGTCTTTAACCGTCACAAGGATGGCACATGGCGCCTTTGCGATACATGGACTGCACATGGCGGCGAGATTATAGAGGTAACGCAGCCCCCTTGTCTCGTAGTATTCCTGCCTCCTGTGTCATTCTGTCGCACACGCGCGCTGACTTTATTCCCTCACTCTTGCAGATTCAATGGCTCCCCGCGACTGTTTATCCTAATTTGATCGCTTCCCTCGGCATTGAAGGGTGGTTCCGGTTATGGGCCGAGGATCCCTCTGCTGCGCCTGGCCGGCGATTTTGTACTGGACGAGCTGGTAATGGAAAGCCGGCCTTTGATACACGCTCCAACAAAGCCCCCTACCGATCATTTTCAATGAAGCATAATGAGGAGACGAGGCATACATATCTTGCGCTCCTCGCGACAGACGGACGTTTAACAGTTTACGAAAACGACCAGCCCGAGAACCTCTCAGAATATGCATCTATCGACGAATTCAGTGTCGCTCCAAAACCAAGTCGAGGAGAAGAGCTCGCCTTTCGTGTGCGCTTCGACCCCAACCCAGAACCATGTTATACAGCTCTGCGTGCCGGCGTACCATCGGATTCCTTAGGTCTCGTGGTGGCTGCAATGGACACCGTAAAAGTATATCGATCGCGGGATATTGTTGCGACTTCTATAGGCGTTCAACAGACCCAGAAGGAGTTCTATCTTGCTGTCGAGTTAACGGGTCATCGAGGTCTAGTACGGGATGTCGCATGGGCTGCAGGCAATATCAGAGGTTATGATGTTATTGCGACAGCCTGTCAGGATGGTTATGCACGCGTTTTCCGAATCGAGACACCTTATTCCGAAGATGACGGCAAGTCGTGGTCTGCAGCCGATCTCCTTCGTTCAGCACCGCACATGTCAACCAGAGACTCGACTCCACAAGCAAGAACAAACGGAACTGCGACACCGACGGACAAACAAGCTACCACGCCTCAGCTGCAACCGTCCCACAGTTACCACCAACATCAGCACCATACCTCTGGGCTCAGCGCCAGTCTTGCAAAGTCAGGCTCTCACAATGATCGACAATGGTCGGGGCAACCGGGCCAGGTTAAGCACAACTTTCAAGAGATATCCAAGCTGGACAACCATCGTACCCCTGTGTGGCGTGTGGGCTTCGATGACGATGGTCACATATTGGGCAGCACAGGTGACGACGGGCGCCTGTTGTGTTATCGTCAGACCCCGAATGGGGCATGGACCAAGAGCTCTGAATTGGCAGTACAGAAAGCACGAATGGCCACTCCATGAAGTCATCGTATCTGAGAGTGAGAGCTGTTAGACTCAGCTCGCAGTGTCAAGACAGACAACGTTGCAAATATCCAGTCGATGTGCATTGCTGAGGTGGCCCGCTACCTGTGCCTCTTTTGGAACATGCCCCCTGTCTGCGCTACATCCCGTTCCACCACCTTCGAGTCAAGAGAGTTGAGGATCTTGTCTGACGCAGCATTGCGTGGCCACAAAGGGGAAAGACGTCGGTGGTACGCCAACATTGGGCAGGATATCTAAAAAGATGTGACCCGAGGCCATTCGGATGAAGTCAGAGAACACCAGGCCCCTGGCTAGTCTTGCGAACAGTTCGCATCGAGCATCGTGTCACGAGATATCATACAGCAGAACGACATAAAGGACGATACTCCGTGAAACATGGGCAAACAGATTTGAAATCCTATGGACACTAAACTAAGCCTTTGGCATACATCGAGCCACTAAATAGGCTTTAAGAATTTCAAAGACATCACCAAGGTGTACAGGGACTTAGGAATGGTTCTGATACTTGTGTTATAGAGGTGGCCAGCACTCATGATGCAGCTTCATACAACATAGGTCACGTCACATAGTATGTGGCCAAGATAGAATTCACATAGCTGATTGAAAATTTGATATTATTCAAAAAATTGTATTTCCGAGTAGGTAGTCATACTATCAAATGAAGAACCAAGTGGTGGTTGTGCAGCTCGCTGATTTCATGTTTAACCATTCTCTTTTGGTATTGTTCAAAGCCGTCAAAAGCAAAGTAGTCTCAAAACACAAAGAAACCCCCCAACGCCATTCATGAGTCGAATTTATGATTTCGCGTTAAAAACGTGCTGTGCTTTTGTCTCTTCCTCCAGGGATGGGTGTGGCGCCCGCCTAAAGTCCATGTTTTGACATGTGATCTGTGGCTGACTGTATCCCCACACCCTTTCAACGACATGTCTCTACTGACATGACGATTTTTGTATCCTTCCACATTGCACGTCGATCAATTACCCCTCCTCCTCTTGTCGTCGTTAGAAAGATTGTACCGCTTAAGCAGCATCGGCGCTGGCAGCGGGCTGGACAATCTTGGTGACCTGAGAGCCAGCACGGATGATGCGCTGACCGGCAGAGTCGTTCATGTAGGTAATATCCTTGTTCTCGAACTGAGCACGCTTCCAGATCTCAACCTCGCAACCACCGCGGAGGACACCGACACGCATGGTAGACAGAAGGTTGTGGGCAGCGTTGGAGTGGAGGTAGACACCGCCGTTGAAGATAGCGGTAGCGTCCTTTCCGATGGCGGAGTTGATGAGGGCCTTGCCACCGGGATGGTCCTTGATGAAGTCGGTGACGTCGTGGATAACACCGGCAATAGCAACGAGGCCCTTTCCAGCCTTGGCCTGGGCAACGAAGTCGTCCCAGTCAACAACGGGAAGCTGCTCAAGAGGAATGCCCCAGTCGAGTGTGGCACGCTTCTGATCAAGCTTCTTCTGGAGCTGCTGGACACGGCCCTTCTCAATCTCGTTGGCACGGAACTCCTTCAGCTCATAAGCAAGACCAAGCTGCTTCCAGCACCAGATGCTCCACTTGGTAGGATCGTACTGCCACCACTCGATAGCGTTGCGGTAATCCGAAGGGAACTCGTGGTGGAAGTTGTGGTAACCCTCACCAAGAGTGACGAGAGCAGTGATGACGTGGTCACGGGGTGAGTTGCGGTCATCAAAAGGCTGGTCACCGAGCCAGTGGGCAAGAGAGTTGACACAGAAGGTGGCCTGCTGAACGAAGCAAACACGGAGAATGCCAGCGTAGACGAGTCCACCCCACCAGTCACCCCAGCCCAGACCAGCGACGAGAGCAGGGAAACCGAGAGCCATGAAGAGAACGCACTTGATGTAGTTCTTGTGCTGCCAGACAACGACAGCGTCCTCGTTGAGATCGGTGATATCGGTACGGCCCTGTCGCTTAGGGTTCTGCTTGAGGATCATCCAGCCCATGTGGGAGTACATGAGACCCTTGCGGACGGAGTAGGGGTCCTTGTCAGTATCGGTATAACGGTGGTGAACACGGTGACCATATGACCACCATCGGATAGAACCCTGAACGGCGCCAGCACCGACAGCAGCGAGATAGATCTTGAGAGGAGTAGTGCCCTTGTAGGCAGAGTGAGACCAAAGTCGGTGGTAACCTGGTGTTGTAAGTAATTGATCGATGGTATCCAGGATTTAGAAGCAGTGCTTCCTTCATTAGGTGTTGACTTACCAGCAGTGATGCCGAGACCGGTGTGAACATAGTAGAAGACAGCCCAAAGAGCAGTCTTGAGCTGGAGAGGAACCCAGTAGGCGGAAATGAATCCGGCCAAGGGAACGAAGATAACCAACGTGGTGTTGAGCCAGTTGATGTGCTGAGGCCAGTTGCTCCAGGTCATGGGAGTATCGGCAATATGGACCTTGTTGGCATCCTTCTTGGCCCCGCCGGCACGGAGAGGAACATAGTCTTTGGTGCCATCAGGGAATGGCTGGGCATTCTTGCCCGCAGCAGTAGCTGTCGCCATATCGATCGAGTTGTCGATTATAGGCTGGCGATGGCAAGTGTGCGTCGTCGACTCGAAGATATAGGAACCCAACACAGAGAACCACAAAGTTGATGGTTACTCAGATAAGTGAAGGGAGAACTGAACCTTTTTAGGATGAAGAGTATCCTAAACAAAGGGTGAAGAGAGTTTATAGGAAGGGGAAGGAACTGGAGGAGGTTGGTCGAGAAGTAAATCCGGTTGGGGCGGAGGGCTCTAAAAGGACTTTATACTATCAGAGACAGACCCGAGCCGGAGCTGGGCGCAGGAAAGAATCGATTGAATTGGATGAGGACGAGGAAGCGGTAGAGACTGGGGAGGGGGGGTGTAGTGGGTTTGAGAGGCGTGAGACAAGTGGAGGGTTGCAAGTGGAGGGTCCTAGTCTCAGGCCTTGTCCGGGCTGTTCTGCCTCCCTCTCAGCGGCGACAGAGACACCGAACAGCGCTTCTTTCAGTGAGGAGGCAAGGAAAAATACAGGGCCTGAGTGGGACCTCGGATTGACAATTAACCCTTGTTGTGGCGGCGAATTCAAGGTTGGGGAAGTAAAACGAAGCCGTTTTGGTCATCCAGAGCTGGAGTTTGTGTGAATCGACTTCTCAAGCGAGGAGGCGGAGGCAAATGAAGACGATGGCATATGCCGATACAGAATCAGATGATGAATGACAATGACGGGCGGCCAGGTAAGCTCTTCCTTTCGACCAGAATTGCGTGTCGGTTTTGAGTTGGGGAAGCTCAAGACAAAGTTGGGGCAAGTTTGGTTTCTGTTGACGTCTGACTGATAGGCCTATACAATCGTATCTAAGTCGTCATGGTGCTTCGAACCTCGGTGATCTGAGATGTTCTTTGCTTGTGAAGATTGATGAGGATGAAGCAAATGGAATGCTGCTATCCATTCAGATAGGTTTATGCTATCTGTGGTTGTATCCAAGTTGTGAGTGAGGTTGAATCGGCGTATTATGCCACACACGCCTACCGTCTCCCCATCAAAGGGGGAAAAATCCATTGGGGCGGGCGGACCAAGAAAAGGCAACAGCAGCTCCCGTCGCTTCCCGGCAACCTAACCCTCTTGATCAATAGAGGCGCTTATACTCCGTACATCATGAATTCAGGGACTTTCATTGTCTGCACAGTACAGTGCAATAGGTACTGAATGAACCCTTCACTGACTGAGACGGATAGTTTATCAATTCGACCATTATCAGGAGTTTTGATATTGGGTTAAGCGAGTTGCAGGACTTGTTGGAGGTAGTTGAGCATGTCGACGTTTCAATTGGCTGGACCTGATACCAAATTGGTTGTGTCATTGTCTTCCAGAAGTCAAAACTGATGAACCTGTCACAACCAACTACCTAATCACAGCTGCTGTAAGTGATTCACATCAACCTTTGGCAAGCACTGTAATTCAGATGACCATTCCTCCAACAACTTACGATGTATGGATATCTCATCTAACTCCCCGCTCTGCATCTCGAGTTACCGAGATCTTCCTTAGGCCCTGCCACTTAGATGAAGGAATGATGCCAGTAATCAGCCCACGATAGGTATCGTTAGTAGACGCTTTCATTGTGCTGAAATTGTGTATGTCGGCCTTTCTCCGCAAATACAAAAGATCAACTGGGCGACGTCTGCTCGGACAGATACTGGGTCTTGTAGCTGGGACGAAAGGTCGACGTCGACCTGATCGCTCCTTCTCTCAACCTTTTTTGCTTCCCCAACAACTTTTTTGGCGGCTCCAATCAAGTGTGGGGCTCGGCTGGGCGCCCGGGAATCGTTTGGGTACCCCTGCCAAAAACGAAGTACCTTATCGGCCAATTTTAGGCTGGAGAGTACTTCCACTTCAAGGGACGGCACATCTTCATCTAGCCCTGCAAGAGGCAACGCGCCAGTGCATGCCCGTCTTCCATGCAGGGGAGCTCACACGAAAACCCCGGAGCCGCCTGAGCTTCGAGACTGTGAGTGAGACTGGATCTAAGTCAAGCCTCAAGAAGAAGAAAAATCAGAGAGAAAAATACTGAATCCACATCTCCACTGATTTGTTAAGAGGCGATTCTATTTGCCGAAGTCGATTGTGGGATCTCGCATGGCATGATTGAAAAAGCCCCGATCTATTGGCAGGTCATCGATATCCAAGGTGTTTTGTTGGTAGATGCACTTTTAGACGTTGATGACGATGCTGCTGAGGTTGGACAGTACATATCACAAACGGAACGATAGAGGCCAAGACAGGCACGTGAAATTCTGTTGCATTGACAGTTGAAGTGGCGAAATGATCCCAATTGAGCTGTTGATATGTAAATCACTTCAATTCTGGTTGAGCACCGTTTGAAAACCGGGCATGCCGAGGCTTGTTCCCGTCTGCTTTGACGTACATAGGCACACACACACTCATTCACTCGTTCGCACTCACACGCTTATCTCAAAGATCTAGCTAGCATCAGTAAGTGCCAGCCAATGCACGGTTCTCACTGTACAGTGCATGCCTCAGTTTGATACCCTCAAATCTTGATAGGGATCCTTGACCAACCTAACCTCACCTCACCTCACCTCACATTTTGATATCATAACTGCAACGTCCGCCATATCCCGAGTTATCATGCCATGTGCTCGAGCTATAGGCATCTGATTGATCAAACGTCATATGATTCTCATTCCGAGATTCATCAGATTGTGATATTGTCAATTGTTGAATCCCAATGCAAAGAATAGCAAAATGATGGCCTTCAACATATCAGCCCTATCGCGAACTTCAGGCCAATACGTACAACCTCTGTTCCCCCAGATCGAACGATACCTCGGCCCATTTGGCTTTTTTCTGACATGACTTGTTCATTCGAGGGGTCTCGGTTTTCTAGACTCTCTCGGTTAACTACTCTCTTACCGTGCCCCAAGTCCGAGTGCAATAGGATTGTCGATTCCATTTCAGAGTCTGTCCCGTTCTCCCGAGCTCCAGCCTGAGCAGGGATGGTACGTACATATATTTTACACCCCTGGTTCATTCTCCCCAGTTTCCCCAACAGAAACACAAAGATCGGGATTCGCCAAGCTTAAGCGGCTCCACATTCGCCTCCAAATTCAAAAAAGTTGCAGTTCAATGTTGGCCTTAGTTATTCCTCCGTCATCAGCAATCAAAATTCAGGCAGAGAAAAATTCGACTCAATCCGCCCATCACAGACCATCTCACGTGATGTCAAACGTCAAGTTTGTTGATGGATTCTAGAACAATTCTAAAGCTTTCTCGTAATGATTTCATATACTAGCGCCCTATACCCTAACCTTTCCTCCCTGGCACTAAGGTATTCATCAACTCTTTCATAGTCATCGACCTTGATTGCAGCGTCTATCTATCACTACCTATCGAAAGTGACTTCGTCAATTGCGAGATTCTGGGGCTTGCCAGTCAGGGCCCTCTTGCTCTGGGCGGTGTTCATCTAGAACAGACGATATATGTCTCTCATCCACTGATTGTAGTTTGATAGCTTGTCAGGTGCTGCCTTGAAGCTTTTTTTTTATTTTATTTTTTTTATTCCGTAAATGCAATATCGATGTCTTCAGGTGACCCGGGTAGTCTTCGTCTTTGCGATAGCTGCTACGAGGCAGCATCGCTTAATAAGATCCTCAGTATTGCGCCGCACAAAGCGGAAGTATGTATGTACCAGCTTCAAGCAGAGGTTGAGATTTAGATCATTTGAAGGCGTTACAGTGAGCCCATCTCATATCTCATTAAGACTATCGATAGGCTCTTCTTCAACAAATTTATCCAGAATCTCCTTTCGGAAAATCTGATCTACTGTTTCACGCAGTTGCGTGCATCTAGTGCATGTCTCTACCGAGCAGGGCTCAGGTTGTCCCGTGTGGAAAATATTCGATTCTCCTCTCCTGGCCTCAGGTAAAGATTGAGAGGATACGATCGTGAACTTGAGGATAAGAAGTCGGAACTTGGGCCTCTATCCTCTTCGGTCATCTTATTTAGAGGATTCTATCATAAGGCTCGTGGTGATAAGCTCAAAGCTTGGGGTTTCTGCTGATTTCATCAGTATTGGCTGTGCGGACTGTGCGGTTGATCTCTTTATGTCCTTTGGACGAGACTGTGGCATGAGTTCGTGCGCAATACCACCACGCTATTGATACCTGCTCAGGTATTGCTCACCTTGCTGTGCTACAAACTTCTGGTGTAACGCGAAGTTGTCTGAGCGGCCCTTGTACAAAATAGTAGGCTCATAGCTGGTTATGCTGGATATTACGATGGTCTAGAGATCCTGGGCGATTCCATGATAAGACAAGATGTAACAGATGGCTCAGGCCAGTGCAACTGCACAACCACAACATTTGAAACCACTCTCTATGATCACCGAGCTACAAATGGTAGCAATCTAGTTGTACTTTCTCGTGCCAACAATCATGTATTAGTTGCTGCTGCTGCTGCTTCGTCAATGACACTCCGAGGCGCCTTACCAATCTGAGGCCTAATTTATTGACTAGACTGCAGCAAAAGATGTAGCAATGTATGCGAGGCCACTACCATATCGAACGCCGAGACGAACTAGATCTTCACTCTAACCTCTTTTTCTCGTTCCTGGCTCTACGTAGCTGGCGGAGAGCAACAAAGTAGAGGCACAAGATAACAGTAGCTGTCAAGGTACCACCCGGAGAACAAGCATCTCAGAAGTCAATGATCTCTGGTTCCTTCTTGGCGTTGACTCTACCCAATCGTAGAGAGCATCTTCGTGGAAGATATGAGTCGATTTGAATTCCTGGATTAGCTTGTGTAGCGGGCACGTGCTCTTGATATCTTCGGAAACTCATCGCACAAGACGATCCTAGGTGGTTAAGCGAACTCGTGAGGACGTGCCTTTCATTTCGGTGACTGTGGAGGAGAACGAGTGTACGTTAAGTACTGTAGAGTTGTAAGAAAACGAGTTGAGAGATAAGAGGGTAAAGATTACTTGAGAAAGAATATGCAGAGAAAAGCTACATCAGAAAGC